AAACTCCCATATACACTTCTGGCATCTCCAAGGGTCTACACCCTTCCCCAGGCATTCACAGTGGGACAGGGACTCCACATCACGCTTCTGCCTCACTCCCCCAACCCCTCCCAAACGCTTGCCCAAACTAAGATCCTGGGTGTTGAATTTAGACCTCAGCTCTTCAACTGTTGCTTAAGACCCTGTGAAGAGTTGGAGGAAGACGCTGAACATGGAGCCAGTGGCTGGGCCCACCCGTGGCCACATTAGGAAGGGAAGGGAATGGTTCCACGCATCCAGATGGATGTGCACGTGAGCATCCACACACACTCACAAATAATGCGAGGGTCCTGAATGGATAATTTTCTTACAGGCAGCCTGTCCCCTTTCTTGCACCAAACTGTGGCAATTATTTGAGCGGGGCAGGATGTATTATGTTCCAATGGGATGCCCAGAGCTCTGTCGGGCAAGGTAATAAATGCAAGAGAAAAGCGCAGCATTAAAGAATATGGACAAAGAAGTGAGCTGCTCTCTGCCAAGACGCATAACAAGCGCATGCCACTGGAGTGAGTCTGCCGAAGCGGCTGCCTCCTCCCTGGGTAGAAACGCCAAGGTCATGACGGCACTGCCTTTCTGTGCCCGAGAGTCACAGCGCTTGCCGGGAGAGGACTCCACCAGGCAAGCTCATGGAGATGCAGGTTATTTGCTTGGTACCTACACCTTCCTGGTCATTGCCATTCACAGAATGCTGCTCTCTTAGTGTTCAGGGCTTTTTATATGCAAGGTGGTGTGCTATACTCAAAGGGTATTGTTTCTGAAGCAATTGCATAATGCCAAGCCTGCATAATTCAACATTAATCCCAGGAAGGAGGTGAGTATTTCTGATTACCACTAATGTGACCACAGCATAAACCAGTATACAACTCCTCAATCTGTCAGTTTGAAATGACATAATTCCAGATAATTCTTACTTCACGGGGATTTGCATTATTTTGAATTTGGGGCAAAAATATAAAATAACTAATTCTTTGTATTATCCTAGATTAAACTGTTATGAAATGTGTCATTTATATATATATATATAATATGTCATCATCTGCATTGTTATCCTAACAGTTAAGAGCTAACACATGCTAATATTCACATTAATAGGAATATCATTATATACCAATTAATAAAGGCTTTTGTGTGCTTTTAAGGATTTATTTACTTACTTGAAAGGCAGAGTTACACAGAAACAGAGAGAGAGGTCTTCCATCTGCTGGTGCACTCCCTAAATGGCTGCAATAGCCAGGGCTGAGTCAGGCTGAGGCCAGAGGCCAGGAGTTTCATCCAGGTCTCCGACGTGGGTGCAGGGTTTCAAGCACTTGGGTCATCCTCCACTGCTTTCCTGGATGCGTTAGCAGGGAGCTGGATCAGAGCAGCCTAGACTTTAACCAATACCCATATGGGATGCCAGTGTCACAGGTGGTGACCTAACCCACTGAGCCACAATGCCAGCCTCAAGAGTTTCATATTTTATTTACTTATTTATTTGAGAGGCAGAATTACAGATAGAGAGAGGGAAAGCGAGAGAAGAGCGAGAGCGAGAGAGAGAGAGAGTCTTTCATCTGCTGGGTCACTCCCTAAATGGCCGCAATAGCCAGAGCTGAGCCAATCCGAAGCCAGGATTCAGGGGCTTCTTCCGGGTCTCCCACGTGGGTGCATGGACCCAAGGACTTGGGCCATCTTCCACTGCTCTCCCAGGCCATTATCAGGGAGCTGGATCAGAAGTGGAGCAGCTAGGACACGAATCAGCACCCTTATGGAGCGCCAGCACTAGTAGGTGGAGATTTAACCCACTATGCCATGACGCCGGCCCCCAGAGCTCCATATCTTTTAACACTGACCACGTGCCAAGCATAGTAGGTTTAGGCCATTTAATCTACTACACAGCAAATGTTCCTATTATTCCATTCTGTAGTTAGGAGAAATTGAGGTTCAGAGAGACTAAGTAACTTGCTGGGAGTTATACAATTAATGGGTGGTAGAAAATGAGGACTTGATGCCAGGCAGTGTAGGCATCTACACTGCTACATTTTCAGCCACCAGGCTCCACCTCCTCATGTAAGTCCCATAATGACCATGATGGACTTATTGCTCTCCCATTTTACTGACAAGATAACCGAGCTCTACCCAGCTCTAACCCACACTGGTTGCGTTATGCTCCACGGTACCCCATCTGCCTCCTAGTTCCTGACTATATCAGCACTAGGGCAGACTTAACTTATTCTAGCACCCATCAAGGCTGCCTCTTGTTAAGACAAACACCTTGAATTCAATATAAACATAGGGAAATGAAAAAGATTCGTGTTTACCATGACACTTGATGACAGGCTAGGAAGCCTGGTGGTTCTGGGGACCTTACACCCAGCCTAGCACATGTCCCTTAAATGTCCCCACTGTACCTTCTGTGTCAGGGCCCTGAGGGCTCAACAGCACCCCCTGAGGTCGGTACTACTGTCCTTTCTCCTGTGCAGAGAAGCACCGACAGGCAGAGACAGGAGAGTCTGCATCGGTTTCTCCTCTACCAGGAGAACTGGGAAGACTGGCAAGTCCTCCCTTCTCAAGCTCACTCACAGAGATGCAAACCAGCTCCAAGGCACAGCATGGGAGAGAAACTGAGTCAGGAGAGGCATGCTGCTCAACAGACAGCAACAGCAACCCCAAAGATGCCCAGAGATGAAAAAAACAGAAAAATCCCTCTCTGTTCCCCCACAGGCTTTGAGCTCAGCGGAACAGGTTATAGCCACCCTGTGGAAGGGCCCACTAGAGGGCAGCAGTGAGCAGAGAGGGGGGCATGAAGAAAGCAGGAAAGACGTGGCGCTGGGAAGGTTGGGAGGGGCCTGGGAAGTGGGACAAATTACCTCCTCCTGGCAAAGTCAGCTAGTCCCCAGCGACCTCGAGTGAACTTGGGACCTGGTTTTTATGGGGCTCTGAGAGACTGTGGCTCATTAAGGACTGTTCGTTACTATGCTATGCCTAACAGTGCCTTTTCATCTTAAGTGCTGATTTTCCTCTCACTTAATTGAAATTTATTCTAATACATCTTCACCAGAGTACTTAGAAATGCCATGGGCAAGGACCTCCCCCCGCTGAGTATATAGCAAAGGTGTGGCTTGAAAGTTGGTAAGAATACACATATATTGTAAACAGACAGGTAGAGTGGACAGTGAGAGAGAGACAGAGAAAAAGGTCTTCCTTTGCTGTTGGTTCACCCTCCAATGGCCGCCGTGGCCGGCGCGCTGTGCTGATCTGAAGCCAGGAGCCAGGTGTCTCTTCTGGTCTCCCATGCAGGTGCAGGGCCCAAACACTTGGGCCATCCTCCACTGTACTGCCGTGCCACAGCAGAGAGCTGGACTAGAAGAGGAGCAACAGGGACAGAATCCGGCGCCCGACTGGGACTAGAACCCGGTGTGCTGGCGCCACAGGCAGAGGATTAGCCTATTGAGCCATGACACCTGCTTGCCATAATTTTCAACAAGGTAATACTCTATACAGTAGCTGTCAGGTGCCTACTACTGGTGCCCCACTCCCACCCCTGCAGGAGGCCACCCACCATTCCCCAGGGGCTGCAACTGCTGGAGGCTAACAGCCTTCAGCTGCTTCCTCCTCTGGAGGACTGACCTAGGCCAATAGAGAAGCTTCTGCACTCAGTGTGCTATGAACCCATCTCATGACATACAGAGGTCACTGCTGTATGTTACAGGGCCCACATGTGCCTCAAAGGACATGAATTCCACAGCATAATTCACCCTTCAGAGTTTCTCATGGAATCTGGCTGAAGTTAGACCCCAGATAAGGATCACAGCTTTGCACAGCATTAACTGGTGAGGTAGAGATGACACTTCCAGCGGTTACCTGTGGGCTTATCCTGTGAGGCCCACACTGTCGGGATGGTGCGGCGATGGTGTTCTTTGGCAAGAAGCACCAGAGACAGTTTCGGTGACCATGTCCATTAATTAGCAATCAGGCACAAGCTTTTATAGGGCAGGCAAAAGGGAGTAGCTAGCACAGGGTAGCAACACTAGTTCTATAGGATAAAGTAGATACTGGCACCTCATTGCTTCTCCAATCAGCTTGAAGGTCATGTAGTCTATGGGAGAGTCTTGGTGCTCTCTCTCTCTTTCCCTCTCTCTCTCTCTTTCTCTCTCTCTCTCACACACACAGACAGACACACACACACACCACACACATAACTAACAAAGTTTTATGTAGCCTTCCAGATGGTCTTTATGGGTCTGGGTCACACCTGGGAGCTGTTAACCTCAACAGGAAGTGGGAGTGGGAGAAATGTGCCTGGGGTCCCTGCTGCCTGCCAGGAGTCAGGTCATATGTGGGTCTCAGTGTGCTGAGTCCTCAACCAGGGTCTTTCCCAGAAGGCATGGTGTGCCATGATCACTTAACCTCCTGCATGGGCTAAGCAGGGAGTTCTCCCAGCCAGGCACAGGATCACCCACAGTTACCCATCAGAGTAGAATCTGCAAGACCTACCCTACACAGGCTGGTTAGTTCCTACTGCACAATACTTCAGAAGTGATGACTCAAGGGTGGGATTCTGTGGGTGTGACACAGCAAGAGCCTAGAATCTGGTAAACCATGGTATGTGCAACAGTAAAGCACTACCCGGACGACAGACATGAGGCCTTAGATACACTGACTTGGAACGTGCCAATCCATCATGTGAGCAGCACATCTGAGCTCAAATCTGCCAGGATCTCCTTGTCTGTGTAGACAGCCTCCTAACTGCCCACTTGAGAGGCAGACTGTCTTAGTTCATTTGTGCTACTGCAACAAAACACCACAGATGGAGTAATTTAGAAACAATGCAAGTTTATTGCCCACAGTTCTGGAGCTTTGGGAAGACCAGGATCAGGTCATCAACAGGTTCGACGTCTGGCTAGGGCCCATTTCTCTTAGATGGCACTGTTTAGGTGTCCTCTCCTGGCACAAGGGACAGAAGGGCAAAGGGAGACAAACACTGGGCAAAGCTTCTTCTTTTATTTCTTTAAGATTTGTTTACTTATTTAAAAATACAGGGTTACAGAGAGGCAGAGAGAGAGAGAGGTTTTCCATCTGCTGGTTAACTGGCCACAAATGACTGCAATTGCTGGAGCTGGGTTGATCCAAAGCCAGGAGCATTGAGCTTCTTCCGGGTCTCCCACTCAGGTGCAAGGGTCCAAGGACTTGGGCCATCTTCTACTGCTTTCCCAGGCCACAGAGCAGAGAGCTGTATTGGAAGTGGAGCAGCCAGGACTTGAACCGGCACCCATATGGGATGCCAGCACTGCAGGCGGAAGCTTTACCTGCTACACCACAGTGCCGGCCCCGAAGCTTCTTGTATAAAGGGCTTAATCCCACTCACCATGGCTCTGTCCTTATGACTTAATGATGTCCCAGAGGCCCTGCCTCTTCAAACCATCACATTGCCAGTTGAGTTCCAACACATGAATTTTGGGAGACACTTAGATCAAAGCTAGAAAGGGAGCATTTTATTCACTAGATCCAGGGTCCATTGGCCAAGAGTTGCCCACAGAGTGTTCACTCCCTCCTGTTCCAGTGCTCGAACAGAATGGCCACAGATGCTCCACCTGCAGGGACAGACAGACAGACAGCAAGATGTGGTCAGGGGGAGCTAGGGTTGTCATGGCAACAGTCTGAGTGAAAATGTCATAAAATTGGCCCGAAGGAGACTCTAAGCCTTTTACTGTCACCTTTCTTTCCCCTGACACCATCCCCCCTCAGCTCCAGGCAACAACTAATCTACATTTTTTTTAAGATTTTTAATTTATTTATTTGAGAGCTAAAGTTACAGACAGCGAAAGAGAGAGAGAGAGAGAGAGAGAGAGAGAGAGAAAGTCTTCCTTCCGTTGGTTCACTCCCTAAATGGCCGCAACAGCTGGAACTGCGCCCATCCGAAGCCAGGAGCCAGTAGCTTCCTCCGGGTCTCCCATGCAGGTGCAGGGACCCAAGCACTTGGGCCATCCTCCACTGCTATCCCGGGCCACAGCAGAGAGCTGGACTGGAAGAGGAGCAACTGGGACTAGAACTGGCGCCCATCTGGGATGCCGGCACCACAGGAGGAGGATTAACCTAGTGCGCCATGGCGTCAGCCCCCTAATCTACTTTTTGTCTCTAGGAATTTGCCTATTCTGGACACTTCATATAAATAGCATTGCATATGAATGTTTTTGTGTCTGGCTTCTCTCACTTAGCCTAGTGTTTCCAAGGTTCATCCACACTGCAGAAGGTATCCGTGCTTCATTCTTTCTACAATCAAGCAATGGTCCATAGGATGAATAGTCCACACGGTGACTAGCCATTCTCCAGGTGATGCATATTTGAGTTGTTTCCAGTTTTGGGAGGCAACTATGAACAATGCTGCAAGTTGTATACAAGTTTTTGTGTAGACATATATTTACATTTCTTTTGAGTATATTGTTCAAAGTGGAATTGCTAATCATACAGTAAACCTAATGTTTTCCAAAGTGGGTGCAACATTTTCCCTTTTCACTAGCAGTGTGTGTGGGTTCCAAGTTCTCTACACCCTTGTCAACACTTGGTAACATCTCCTCTATTGCAGTCATCCTTGTGGGTCTAAAGTAGTATCTCACTGTAAGTTTTTTTTTAAAGTTTTTATTTGGGGGCCGGCGCCACGGCTCACTAGGCTAATCCTCCGCCTTGCGGCACCGGCACACTGGGTTCTAGTCCCGGTCAGGGCGCCGGATTCTGTCCCGGTTGCCCCTCTTCCAGGCCAGCCCTCTGCTGTGGCCAGGGAGTGCAGTGGAGGATGGCCCAGGTGCTTGGGCCCTGCACCCCATGGGAGACCAGGAGAAGCACCTGGCTCCTGCCATCGGATTAGCACGGTGCGCCGGCCGCAGCACACTGGCCGCGGCGGCCATTGGAGGGTGAACCAACGGCAAAGGAAGACCTTTCTCTCTGTCTCTCTCTCTCACTGTCCACTCTGCCTGCCAAAAAATAAAAAAATAAATAAAAATTAAAAAAATAAATAAAAAGTTTTTATTTGGGGCTGGTGCTATGGCACAGTGGGTAAAGCTGCTGCCTGTAGTGCTGGCATCCTATATGGGTGCCGGTTCGAATCAAATAAATAAATAAGGGGGCTGCCGCTGTGACGTAGTGGGTAAAGCCGCCGCCTGCAGTGCCAGCATCCTATATAGGCACCAGTTCGAGTCCTGGTTGCTCCACTTCCGATCCAGCTCCTTGCTATGGCCTGGGAAAGCAGTAGAAGATGGCCTAAGTGCTTTGGTCCTTGAACCCACGTGGGAGACCTGGAAGAAACTCCTGGCTCCTGGCTTGGGATCAGCCCAGCTCCCACCTTTGCATCCATCTGGGGAGAGAACCAGCAGATGGAAGACCTCTCTCTCTGTCTCTTTCTCTCTCTCTCTCCCTCTGCCTCTCTGTAACTCTGCCTTTCAAATAAATAAATAAATCTTTAAAAATATATAAAATAAAAATTTTTTATTTATCTGTTTGAAAGGCAGAGAAAGAGAGAGAGAGAGAGAGATCTCCCATTTGGTTCACTCCCCAAATGCCCACAACAGCCAGGTCTAGGCCAGGTTGAATCCAAAAACTCAACCTGAATCTCCCACATGGATGGGAGGGACCCAAGAACTTGAGCTATCACCTGCTGCCTCCCATGGGGAACATAATCAAGAAGCCAGAATGGAGAGCAGGGTCAGAGCTGAGCACAGCTCTCCAACATGGGCGCAGGTGTCCCAAGCTGTAGCTTAGCCACCATGCCAAAGACCTGCCCCTCCCTGCAGTTCTGACTTGGACTTCCCAAAAGTTAACGATGCCAAGTATTCTCTTCATGTGCTTATTGGCTCTTCATCTAACTTTTTTGGACAAATGTCTGTGCAGACCATTTGCCCCTTCTACAAATTTATTTTTGTTTATTTATATTTAAAAGGCACAGAGAAAGGGAGACAGGAGACTAGGAGAGAACTTTGATCCACTGGGTCATTCTCTAAATGCCCACAGTAAATGGGGCTGGGCCAGGCCAAAACCAGGAGTCAGGAAAACTAGTCCAAGTATCCCAGGAGAGTGTCAGGGACCCCAGTACTTGAGGTATAACCTGCTGCCTCCAAGGGTGAGTATTAGCTGGAAGCTGGATTCAGGAGCAGTGTTGGGATTTGAACCCAAGGACCCCACTATTGGGATACAGGTATTTTAACTGCCACGCCAAACACCTACCCCCACCCACTTTTTATTTGGGTTGTCTTTTTTTTTTTTTTAAGTCAGAGTTACACAGAAAGAGGAGAGGCAGAGAGAGAGAGAGAGAGAGAGAGAGAGAGGTCTTCCTTTCCCAATTGGCTGTAACAGCTGGAGCTGCACCGATCCGAAGCCAGGAGCCACGAGCTTCTTCCGGGCCTCCCACACAGGTACAGGAGCCCAAGGACTTGGGCCATCTTCCACTGCTTTCCCAGGCCACAGCAGAGAGCTGGATTGGAAGTGGAGCAGCCAGGTCTTGAACCGGCACCCATAAGGGATGCCAGCACTGCAGGCCAGGGCTTTAACCATCTGTGCCACAGCGCCGGCCCCTTGGGTTATCTTTTTATCCTTGAGTTGTAAGAGTTTTTTGTATACTCTAAATTCAGGCCCGTCATCACACATATGATTTGCTGTTATTTTCTCTCATTCCATGGATTGTCTATTCACTTGCTTGATAGATAGCACCCTTTGAGGGAAAACAATTTTCAATTTTGATGAAGACCAATTTATCTATTTTTTTCTTTTGTTATTTCTACTTTAGGTGTCATACCTAAAAATCTGTTACAAAATCTGAGGTTGTGGGGCCGGTGCTGTGGCACAGCAGGTTAAACCATGGCCTGTGGTGCCGGCATCCCACATGGGCGCTGGTTCAAGTCCCAGCTCCACCACTTCCAATCTGGCTCCTTGCTAATATGCCTGGGAGAGCAGTAGACGATGGCTCAAGTGCTTGGTCCCCTGCACCCACGTGGGAGACCTGGAAGAAGCTCCTGGCTCCTGGCTTCAGCCTCATCATTGCAGCCATCTGAGAAGTGAACCAGCAGATGGAAGACATCGCTCTCTGTCCTCTCTCTCTCTGCAACTCTGCCTTTCAAATAAATAATTAAAAAAAAAAAATCTGAGGTCCTGAAGACTTATTCTTATGTTTTCTTCTAAGAATTTTATAGTTTTAGCTCTTACATTTAGGTGATCCATGTTGTTAATTTTTGTATATTGCGTGGCTAAGGTCCAACATCAATCTTCTGAATAGCCAAATGTCCCTGCAACATCTATTGAAAAGACTTCTTCACTGAATTATCTTGACACCCTTGTTGAAAATCAGCTTACCATGGACACATGATTTTATATCTGGACTCTCGATTCTATTCCATGGATCTGTATGTCAGTCCCTGTGCCAATAACACACTGTTTTGACTACTATTGCTTTGTAGTAAGTTCTGAAATGGAGAAGCAGGAATCTTAACACATGTTTTTGTAGACACAGCAAGTTAATTTCTCCTGAATCTATACCTGAGGGTAAAATTGCGGGGATGCATGTTTAGTTTTTGCAGAAACTATACAACAGTTTACATGCCTTATCTATTTTTAATAATGTAAATATGAGTGTATAAGAATCAATTTAGTTGAATACAGCCCTATAGTATAGTGCAGCTGTTTCTCTGAAGAGGCCTTACTTCCTCAAAGTGTTTTCATGACTCTCTGCTCAACAAGTTCCTAGAGGGCGTGATTTTTGGTAGGCAGAGTTGTCCAAGAAAAGGGCTTCCATTTGCCTAGGCTGTCACTCTGGGCAGTTTATAATATCCCGCTCCAGAAGATTAAAATCTGAAAAGGAAGTCACAGTTGGCAACCCAATTGGCAATTCTCCTTTGGCCAAATCAGAAAGGTCATCAACATGGTGCCCCCTCTGGCTGGACCAGCTAGCCAAATATTCCCTTCCTCTTTTGACCCAGGCCCCTGCCTAGTTTAGAATTTGGTGGACAGAGCCAGGCAGGGCTGGATTTCAGCCTCCAAGGGTCACCCCCGAGTGGGCAGGCTGTGCATGCACTCGGGAGCCCTGCCAGACATGGCCCTGCTGGGACTGTGCTGCCTGTCACCCAGGGACAGGAGCCAAATGAAAGTGAAGAGGGAAATTATGGACTACCCCAAGTGGGTGCTACAGACAAGCCCAGCTTTCTCAGCCACTGCCACTTTGGCCCGTCCTTGGCAGCTCCAGGCAAGGATACAGTGGAGGCCGAGATGAGGATGTGAATGCAGGTGGCTTGCTTGGGAGCAGATCCCAGGATTCCATGGGAGGAAGTAAAGAAAGGCAAGAGAGTGTATTAGGGAGCAGATCGTGGCACTGGGCACTCAGGGCCATCCGCTGGGGCCCTCTGAAAGGGGGCTTAGTCCCTCCAAGAGGTAAAGGCACTGATGCTTTGCCACTCCTCCCCATCCCTCACTGAATGAGGGTCATTCCTCTGGTGTTGGCACCATGACACTGCTGCTCTGCCCCATGTGTGAGCACACACCGAAGACTTCACATTCACACAGGGCTGCGGGAAGCTCTGTGTGGGACCAGGGTGGGCCAAGGGAGTGTGCGCAGGCTCCTGCATGGCCTAAACTTGGAATTAAGACTTTCCGCTGCTCATGATCAGCCCACCGGCTAAGCCATTCAGATTCTAGCAGAGTAGCCACTGGGACCCTAAACATGATTAATGTTCGCTCCTGTGTCACCACTGAGGTTGGGGGAGGGATGGGGAGAGTGGGAAAATGCTGAACACAGAAATGCTAAAGACTACAGCCCGCAGCAGATAAACTGTGCCTGAATGAATGGCTTGTTCTCAAACAGAGAAGGAACTCATTTGAATAGTTAATCCTCGCGTGTAGCAACAGCCACAGATCACCCCGTGAAGGTTAGTATTTGCCCAGGGTGTCATAGGCTGGGGAAATCTTCATGTTCTTTTTCTTTTAAGCAGCAGATTCTATGGCCAGGCCAAGATATTTGAAAGCAAATTGTGAGCCCCGTCTGCCAGCTGGGGGCATGCTGAGACAAAGGAAAGATTCTTGCTGGCAGAGCTACAGGCCAGCAAACCCTTAATCCAGAGGGTGGATTTTAACACATTCATTCCCATGTTCTACGGACATTCCTCCATCCTTGCAGGTGGTCCTACGACACGAGCTGTAGCTAAATCTACACCAAAAAGATCTTTTCTACTTATCAATTTACTCAGCATTTTAGATTTGGCTGCAGCTCATGTAGTAGAAATCATCTCTTACTATCTGTGGGGGGAGTTGTCCCAAGACCTTTGGCAAATACTGAATTCCAAGAATGCTCAAACCCCGTGTGTGAGTATAACACGCCGCGAGTATCAACATATCACCGGTGGGCATGTTCTACTGCACTTTAAATCACCTCTATATTCCTTATAATACCGACTGCAATATCAATGCTATGTGAATAGTTAGCCTATTATATGGTTTAGGGAATAATGACAAGAAAAAAAATCTGCACTTGTTCAAAGCAGGTGCAATTTTTTTTCTAATATTTTCAATCCGTGTTTGATTCAGCTTGTGGAGTTCGTGGCTGCAGAGGGCTGATTATATAAATGGAGGCCAGCTGAGGAAAAGATCTCCCCCCAGGACCCAGGTAGACTATAAACACATGGGTATTGCGGCGGGATGGATCGTGAAATGGAGTTGTCTGTGGTGCTAGGGGTGGCTCCACCCAGGAACAAGGGAAACCTTAGGAACGACAGAGGGTGTAGACCACAAAGCAATCCTGGGGGCTCTGCTCATTTAGAAAAGAGCCCTGGAAAGAACTCGGGGCAGGCACTTGGTGTTGTGATTAAGATTCTGGTTGCAATGCAGCATTCCATATTAAAACGCCTGGCTCTGCTCCCAGTTCCAGCTTCCTGCTCTGTGCACAACCTGGGAGGTAGCTGGCGGTAGTTAAGTCCCTACCATCCCTGTGGGAGACCCAGATTAAGTTCCTGGCTTTTAGCTTTGGCCTGGCTCTATCTGGGGAAAGAACCGTAGATGAGAGCGCCTCTCTCTCTCTCTCTCTCTAATAAACCAAATAATCATTTTTAAAAAATCTTTTACTACCCATAAAACTCCTTGGGTAAATTTCAATCAGGCGAGCTAACTCAGCTTGACAGAAAGTCAGGCAACATTACAAAAATTAACAACCTCTCAGGTTGATAGAAGAACTCCAGCAATGAGTCAATGACTTTGGATTTTAGAATAAGGACAGAAAAACAAGCTGAGCCCCGGTTCATAAAAGGTGGGGATATTTTTGCAAAGGCTCTCATAAACACACTTGAAAGTCCATTTAAAAACCTAATGAATTACCCTAGAAAAACTTCCAGGATTGTTGAAAATTAACCAATTGTTTGCTCACATCTATACAATTAATAAAAGCTGAGATTCTAATTTTTCCAGAATGCAAATCCTGGTGTTTCAGATGGCTGTAATTATACTTTTTTGAAAATTGCAAAATTATAAAGGGAAACTCCCTTAAGACAACATCAAGTAAAATTAGTCAAATACAAGGAAGGATACTATCATTTTTAAGATCACAAAGTTTTTTTAATTTCTATTTATTTATGTATTTAAGATGTAGATAGAGAGCTCCCATTCACTAATTCACTCACCAAATGCCCACAGTGGCCAGGGCTGGGCCAGAGCCGAAGTCAAGAAAGCAATTTGGGTCGCCCAGGTGAGTGACAGAGCCCGATCACTGCCTCCCAGGCTCTGCACTGGCAGGAAGCTGGACCTGGGAATCAAACCCAAGTATTTTAATGTGGGACATTCATTGGCAATCGTAACCACTAGGCTCACTCCAGGTTTTCTTTAATTGAGAAAAAGTTTTAAACGATGCTTGCAGCAGGGACACAGTAAAAGTCAAAAGCTACAGGCTTTTGATGTGCTGTCTCCAGAAGCAAAACTTGCGATTCATCCATTTATTTGGCAAGGGTGTGTGTGGTGAGTCTGCCAGGTCCTCTACGGGACAGCAATGACATAACAGTGCTGAAGACTACTGGACACCTGTCCCCTACGGTTACCAGGGTCAGGGGAGGTGTTTTATACTGCACAGAGATGCCTGTTATTTTTAAAAAGTTAAAACCAAGGGGCCGGCGCTGTGGCGTATTGGGTAAAGCTGCTGCCTGCAGTGCTGGCATCCTATAGGGGTGCTGGTTCGAGTCCCAGCTGCTCCATTTCCAACCCAGCTCCCTGTTAATATGTCTGGGAAAGCACTTGGGCCCCTGTACCTGCGTGGAAGATCCGGAAGAAGCTCCTGGGTCCTGGCTTCCGATTGACCGAGCTCTGGCCATTGCAGCCATTTGGGGAGTGAACCAGCAGATGGAAGACCTCTCTCTGTGTTTCTTTCTCTGTCTAACTCTGCCTCCCAAATAAATAAATAAATCTTTAAAAAAAGAATCACACAAATTTATTAGGATCACCAATATTTTCATACTTAGTCTACCTTCTTTTTTATATTTTCTAACACATTTCCTTCTCTTTTTTTTTCTTCCAGGTGAACAGAGTTTACTTCTGCTGCTCTAATATTCATGGCTGTATATTATCCACCAGGTGAATGTCCCACAATTTAGCTGCTCCAGTACTGAGGCCTTTACATTGTTCCTGACCACATTGCAATCACATTCCATGTCAAACTCTTGCCAGTTCAGGCTCCTCTTACTTCTGAGTGCCACTGGCTCCAAGAATCCATGGGACCTTTCAGAGTTTCTGGCTTGAGTTGGATTTTCCAGAAGCAGCCCCTGAGATGGGGGTGCATGTGAACAAGACTTGCTAGGACCTGAGCCCAGGAAAAACGGGTGGGAGATTGGGAAGCAGGGCCAGAAAAGAGGCCACCGCAGGTGTAAGGGAAGCAAATCACCCACGGTCCACCTGTGGACCAAGCCCATGGCAACGGCCATGGGGAGCAAGTAGGCATGAGAGGCTTGGGCAGACAGACATTGCTACAGTGTCCGGGCCCTTCCCGCAGGCAGGCCACTGAAGAGAATCAGGAAGAGAAGCACCAGGGAGCTCTCTATTCAATGTTCAGCCTCAAAATCAGTGATGGATATCAGCAGTTCCCATGCTGCCTGGGAAACCCACAGCCCTTACTGGAGTGCCTGGGTCCAAGTCCCAGTTCTACTTCTCATTCAACGTCCTGCTAATGCACACCTGGGGAGGCAGCAGGTGATGGCTCAAGTACTTGGGTCCCTGCCACCCACACAGGAGATCTATTTTTAGTTGTAGGCTCCTGGCTTGAGCCAGACCCAGCTCCAGCTGTTGCAGGCATTTGGGGAGTGAACTAACAGATAGAAGATCTCTCTCTGTCTGCATTTCAAATTCTAAAAAGCCAATGATAGGTCTCAAAGCAAGATGCATCTAGGTCAGCTCTGATCTCCACCACGTACAGTAAGTCACGAGTCATGGGACCTTGGCCTAGGTATCACTTCAGCTTCCAACGTCACATGTCCCTCATCTGGTAGTCATCCCCTTGGGAGCGGGCTGAGCTTGTCACGGTACAGGTGGCCACACAATTCCTGTCATTATTATGATTCAGCAGAACTTTTCTTAGCAGTGAGGCAGCCACGAGAAAGCATCTTCCAGAGCAAAGGTGCCAGTGTTTTTATTATTTATATAAAAGACATAAATGGGACGAAATCACATAAATCACAAGTTGCTATTTTTCTTGGGGGCTACAACCGCCATATTATTTTATGAAATACTGGCTCATATTAAATTACTCAGGCCTTGGAAATTTGTAAACCTGTACAAATTCCACATTGGAAACAGCCGTTTATGTGAGCTGTCACTTAAAATACAAATTATGGTTGGTATGAAAGATTTTAATTCATACAAATTCACTGGTTAAAAACTATGGATCAGGGCTGGCACTGTGACTTAGCAAGTAAAGCCGCCGCCTGCAGTGCTGGCATCCCATATGGGCACCAGTTCAAGTCCCAGCTGCTCCACTTCCTATCCGGCTCCCTGCTATGGCCTGGGAAAGCAGTAGAAGATGGCCCAAGTGCTTGGGCCCCTACACCTGTGTGGGAGACCCAGAAGAAGCTCCTGGCTCCTGGCTTTGGATTGGCACAGCTCTGGCCATTGCAGCCAATTGGGGAATGAACCATCGGATGGAAGACCTCTCTCTCTCTCTCTCTCTCTCTGTGCCTCTCCTTCTCTCTGTGTGTAACTCGGAATTTCCAATAAATAAAATAAATCTTAAAAAAAAAAAAACTATGTATCTAGGAGGGAACTACTCAGGGCTTCCATAAATATAAAGAGGCTACTGGAAAAAAAGCCCTGCTGGCTACTTCTTCTAAGTGAGGGAGCACTGGAATAGGATGCAGAGTAAGAATAGGGAGAGTGGGGCCAGTGTTGTGGCACAGTGGGTTAAGCTGCCACTTGCAACTCTAGAATCCCATATGAGCTCCATTTCCAGTTCCGGCTCCTCCACTTCCAATTCAGCTCCCTGCTAATGTGCCTGGAAAGGCAGTAGAAGATAGCCCATGTGCTTGGGCCCCTGCACCCATGTGGAATACTCGGAGAGAGTTCCAGGCTCCTGGCTTCAACCTGGCCCTGCCCAGCCCAGTCCAGCCGCAGCTGTTGTAGCCATCTGGGGAATGAACCAGCAGATGGAAGACAGAATGTGGAGAGCTGTCTCCTGTGGCTGCAGGTGAGCTCATGCATGGGGGAGACACAGAATGGGGCACCTACAGCATATGTTCCAGATGTCTTAAAAATCTACCATGAGCCGGCGCCGTGGCTCAATAGGCTAATCCTCCACCTTGCGGCGCCGGCACACCGGGTTCTAGTCCCGGTCGGGGCGCCGGATTCTGTCCCGGTTGCCCCTCTTCCAGGCCAGCTCTCTGCTATGGCCAGGGAGTGCAGTGGAGGATGGCCCAGGTGCTTGGGCCCTGCACCCCATGGGAGACCAGGAAAAGCACCTGGCTCCTGGCTCCTGCCATCGGATCAGCGCGGTGCGCCGGCTGCAGCGGCGGCCATTGGAGGGTGAACCAACGGCAAAGGAAGACCTTTCTCTCTCTGTCTCTCTCTCTCACTGTCCACTCTGCCTGTCAAAAAATAAAAAAAATAAAAAAAAAATAAAAAAAAATAAAAAAAAAAAAAAAAAGAAAATCTACCATGACTCGGGACATAGCAAAATATCTTATCATGTGAACCCAAATGGTGTCAGTTATTATAGGAAGCCAAATATCTTACATAGGCTGAGCATCCCAAATACAAAAACTCTAAATCTTACATGCTCCAAAATTCAAAACTTTCTAAGCACTGACATAATGCACAAGTGGAAACTTTCACACCTGGCCGTATGTGACAGGTTGCAGTCAAAATACAATCACACTGGCCGGTGCCGCAGCTCACTAGGCTAATCCTCCGCCTGTGGCGCTGGCACCCCAGGTTCTAGTCCCGGTCGGGGCACCGGATTCTGTCCCGGTTGCCCCTCTTCCAGGCCAGCTCTCTGCTGTGGCCCGGGAGTGCACTGGAGGATGACCCAGGTCCTTGGGCCCTGCACCCGCATGGAAGACCAGGAGGAAGCACCTGGCTCCTGGATTCGGATCGGCATAGCGCACCGGCTGTAACGCACCAGCTGTAGCGGCCACTTTGGGGGTGAACCAGCGGAAAAAGGAAGACCTTTCTCTCTGTCTCTCTCTCTCACTGTCTAACTCTGCCTGTCAAAAAAAAAAAAATCACACTAAAAATACGGCATAAAGTTACCTCCAAACTATTACATATATATATAGTATATGAAATATAAATACATTTTGTTTAGACTTGAGTCCTATCCTTGAGGTATCCCATTATACATATGCAGATATCCCATAATCTGAAAAATATCCAAAATACTTCCCAGGCATTTGGGGTAAGGGAAACTCAACCTATACTATTATTGTTTCCAAACTTGCTAAAACGAACCTTTACAACTACACTGTAACAGAACTCTCGGCAAACAGTGGATAGTCATCTTTCTCTTCTTATAAAAAACTATTTCTTAATCTACTTCTCTTTAGCCATGTGGTAAAACCATCATAACTCTAACCTACATACACCTTGAGTCAATAGTCAGATGTATCCTAAATGAATGCCGGTACCAATACAACAGGTTGATCACTAACTGTTAAAGAAAAATCTAAATGTGTTAACCCCATCCGATAACTGGCCCCAAGTTTTCCAGGCCATTTAATTGTTAAATTCCTCTTTTGAAAGGGATCCCTGTTGTTCACAATTCAGACTTTGGTGGAGGCAGGGGTCTTTTTTCCTGAGGTCACCCCCGTGCTTTTAACCACTGCCTAAAGTGTGTCCCATGCTGATTAACATGGCTCGGATTAACTAGATTTAGCATGCGGCAATCATACTCCATTCAGCAAGGCCCATCTCTGGTGAGTCGTGGACATTAATGACAGTTGCAAGAGCTCAAATATTATATAATCACTAATTACATTCTGAGCAATTAGTGGAGGCTCATCAGTGTGAATCGCTAATGGCTGATCACCCCGTTCTCTCCAGGAGGAAAGAGACGGACTGCATAATTTTCTGATTGTATTAGCATAGACACAAGCGTTATTAATGAACTTTGGCGACTGTGAAGAGGCTGGGTGTCTGTGACAGACAAAAGCAAGAGGCTCTGCACGACGGCCATAGACGCTTGGTGCTGAACCTCAAAGCTGTGTGTCTGTGGTTTTCGGGGTGACTCATTCAGGCCCCCACCTTCCAAACTGAAGACACAGGCAACATCCT